CGAGGCGCGCAGCCCTGGCCGGCTCCGCCCTCGGCTTCGGTCGCCTCCTCGCTCCTCCTCCGCGCCCGGCGTATCGTTCTAGAACTCGCGGAGCAGCTGCTTCAGGTGCCGCGGCCAAGTGCAGTAAGCGGCGGCAGGGCTACCCAGGCGCTCCGTTCTATGCTGACTCTCCTGTTCGACAGGGCAGGCGGGCCTGGGCCCCCCCCTCAGACCCAAGCCTCCCTCTCAGGCCTGAGTGCCGACTCAGGCCCAGGCCACCCCTGCTGGCCCAGCCTGGCCCCCGTAGGCTGCCGACTGTCCCTCAGGCACGGGCCCACCAGCCACGACGACTCCTCAGGCGCCCAATTGTGCCCTCAGGCTTGGCCGTTCCCCCCGCCCCAGTCCACCTGCCAAGGGTCTCCTGAGCCCCGTCAGACCCAGCTCGCACCCTCAGGCCTGGCCTTCCCTCCAGGCTGCCCGCCCTCCCGCGACCCCTCAAGCTGGAACCGATCCTTCAGCCCCACCCCTCTGGTCCTCATCCGCCCTGTCAGGCTCAGGTTGACTTCCCAGCTTTGGCTGCCCCCGCCCCGCCCCCGCCATCAACTTTCCAATCCTTTGTCTAGCTTCCTTAGGCCCATCCTCCTGTTATATCTGAGTCAACTAAGTAGACCCAGTTACCTGAGTACCCCATGCCCCTCAGCTCCCACCTGCCCCCTAGTTCAGCTTCTCCCACTATGACCCAAGACATCCTATTTAGACCCCTCCTCCATTCTATTTTTCACCTCTCCTAACTGCTTTCTCAGCACATCCTTAGTTGCCCTTGGAGAAATACTTGTTCACCTCTAACAGTTTCCAGTTTTCTAAAATTTATGCTGTCTACCGGCACGCTCCTAAGGCACCTAGCATCCTTATCTGCTTTTTCTGCGCACTCCAGCTGGCTCTCACGTCATTTTTGGCTGTCCCGAATTCTGGCACTGTGCAACTGACCTCTCTGCTCACCTTCTTCACCTATAAACATTCCCAACCGCCCTCTCCTTCCTTGGCACCAATTGATCATTCTGTCCACACTTAGGTTTCATTGACCTCTCATGCCTGGTTTATTTGCCCATCCTCAATTCTCTGACCCTAACCACCAATTCTCTACCAACTACCCCCAAAAGCCTCTGCCCCATGTAGTCTCCACCTGTCATCTTTTTTCATTTCATCATCATCCCATATTGCCAGTTGTCACTCAGCTACTAACTGTAAATTTCACCTACTCTGTATGTTTGACTTCAGAAAATTTATTTTCTCTTTTATCTTTTACCACATCCACATTTCCTCTGCTCACCGTCTTCAACCAGTATATTTGGCTAATAGAAATGTCCAGCGTTTGAAACACCTTTTCAGTTCTCTTTCTTTTTGGACCCATACATCTTTTCAATCTCTAGATCTGCTACAGGTCTCATCCCTACAACCATTATTTGGATTAAATGATTCATTTTCCATTATCCTTCCAGCACCAATGAGGAGACTCAGTCCAGCCACCCAGTCCAGTCCAGTCATGCAAGTACAGGAAGATGGAGAGAACCTTATCCCCTTTGCCAAGTAAGTCCTCCCTACCTAGTGGTGGGGAACTGGATGGAGGGAAGAATGCATGCCTGTGTTCTTCCCTAAGAAGAATAGGAAATAACGAACAAGAAGCTCAGTGCCTGGTTTCCGAGGATTGGTGATTTATTAATTTATTCAACAAATAGTTTTTCAACACTGCAATCTTCTAGGCACTGTATTAGGAATTGGGGATTCAGCAATTACAAAGATAGGGGTCCTGCTCATAGAGCTTCCATTCTAGAAGGAGGAGACAAAATAAGCATACAAATAAGTGTAATTTTGACTAGTGATAAGTACATGAAAAAATAAAACAGAAGCATAGTATAATGGAAAGTAGAATGTCTTGGAGACACAAATTTAGGTAGAGTGATTCTGGAAGATTATTCTGGGGAAGTGAGTTTGAACTGAGATCTGAAAAATGAGAAGAAATCAGTCTGATGAGAACCAGAGGTGGGGAGAAGAAGGAATAGTAGGTTTTTAAAAAGCCCCAAGAAAAAGAGAAGCTTGTTACTTTCTAGGACCAGGAAGCAGGTCAGTGTAACTGAAACTTAGTGCTTAAGGGAAAAGTGGAGCATAAAGTCAGACAGGCAGAGACCAGATCATATAGGACCTTGCAGGCCATTGAAAAGAGTTTGAATTTTATTCTAAGGAAAGTAGAAATCAGTGGAAGTTTTTAAGCAAGGTAAAGACATGAATAGACTTTTTTTTTAAAAGCTTTTTCTTGTTATTGAAAATTTCAAACAACTGCAGAAGTAGAGAAAATAGTAATCATGAACGCAGTGTACCCTTTTCAGTTAACTATAATAATTATCATTATATGGATGATCTTTTTATCAATACACTCATCTAGCCTCCTGGTATGATTATTGTGAAGTAAATCTCAGACCACATATCGTTTGCATGATCAGTTCTAAAAGATTACCCACACTCCTCTGTGCAGAATAGATTGTTGGGGGATTCGAATGGAAGCAGAGGAGGAGGCTATTGCAATAGTCCAGGAAGGAGAATATGAGCTGGAATGTGGTGATGGGAGTGGAAGTGGTGAGGACTGGTCAAATTTGGGTTTTTTTTTTTTGTAGGGGTGTGGTAATTAGGTTCTTATTTATTGGCACCAATATATAAATGGTACTAGGGATTGAACGCAGGACCCATGCACTCGACTCTACCACTGAGCTCTACCCTCCCTCCTAAATTTGGGTATATTTTAGATGTAGAACTCACAGGACTTGCTGATAGGTTGGGTATGGGAGGTGAGGGAAAGTGAGGCATACCAGGCTTTTGGCTCAAGCAACTGGACACTTGGAGTGCCTTTCAGCAAGATGGAGGAGGCTAGGGAGGAGATGTTGAGTGGGCAGTTGAACCTGCAAGTCTGGAGTCCAGGGGAGGAGCCAGAGCTGGAAATACAGATTTGGGAGTTGTCAGTACATTGGTAGAATTTAAATCATGGGCCTGGATGAGATCTCTTAAGGAGGGATGGAGATGAAGAAGCTAAAGAGCCCAGGACACTCTTTCTAAAGATCAGGGGAGGAGTCATGATTCATTCTGGGGGTTTTGAAAGTGATGAGCACTGTTCTCCAACAGCTTTGCACACTCCTCCCTACCTAAAGAATAGTAGTCTTTCTGAGATGGGGAGATAAAGCAAGGGTGAACAGAGGCTCTACTCTCCTGGATCTAAAAGGAACCTGTCTGTTGCATCACCTGAGGAGCTGAGGCCTTCCTCTTTAACAGCCCTGCTTGCTAAACATGATGTTCTCTGGTTGTGGGATGTAGAAACTTGAGCTTCAGTGAGATCTGAGGCTAAAAAAATTGCTAATCTCCAGCTCAAATCACCTTTCAAATCAAAGGCTTCAGCACCTTCCTCAGCTAAAATGGATAAGGGAGGACATGGCCTGAGGGAGCCTGAGCAGCTGTATGGTCCCATGATAAGACAAGACTCCTAAATTCCTGGAGTGAGTAGGTGCTGTCAGGGAAGAGCCAGACCCCAACCTATCTTGTCCTCACCTCAGGTGTTCCAGGGTGGTCAGCCGATCTCTACACCCTAGCTTACCTTTCCAGAGCCTGAGACTGACGCCCCAGCGTTATGGAGACACCTTCTGGGAGAACCTTAGTCAAAGGCCCAGGTGGGTAGAAATGGAGAAAATGGGGACTAGCTGGAGGTGGGAAGGGGATGCTGTGTAATTTTAAATGACCATAAAGACTTATGGTAGCAATAAGCCCTAGTCTGGGGGTAACTACCCCACTGACTGATGGGCACTGTAGCTCCTGATGCTAGATTGGTGTTTGGGAGAGGTCATTAGAGAAACAATGTGGATCGGGGGTATTCTCTCTGCATCTAGTCCTTTTTTTGTGCTTCACAGCCCCACCTGGATGGAGGAACAGTACATCCCACCCCCGGTGGTATGACAGATTTTCTGCCCTTTGACACTCGGTTAAAATTGCACCCACTGCCTTCTCTTCAGCTCTCCTTATTACCACTTCCCTCTGGTGTCCCCCAGCCAGTGCACTGACCAGGCCCTCCTTTCTATGGATCAATCATAATTTTCCAGATCACAGCTGTGTTTTTGTGATCTGGGCTTCACAAGTCCCCGATTCCCTATTTCAGCCCCTGCTCCCCTGAGAGACCCAGTTCTGCCTTCTGCCTCCTTTCCCCCATTCTCTGGCACAGAGAGCTACTGGTTGTTCCCAGCCTGGTCTATACCCCACTGAGAGGCTCCCACCCCCTGAGATGCTCTGCAGAAGAAAGAGACGCAAGCCATATTTGGGGGGAATGCAGCACGGACCTGGGGGCATCCCAGCCCGGGTAAGGGCTGTCACTTATCACCTGGAGGATCTAAGGAGGCGACAGAGAATTATCAATGAGTAAGGAGAGACACCTGGGCTCTGGGAGCCAAACAGGGTATGGGGACAAGATGGTTTGGACTAAGGAAGGGAGGAATTGAGGTTCTTCCTCCTCCTGAAGGAATTGGGGGTTGTTTGAGAATGAACCATGGACTTGGTGAGATTGAAGCAAAATTTCCATAATATAGAAATGAGGAGGGAACTGAGGGATGGGGATGAACCGTATGGGCTGGAAGGAGTGGAAACTGGATCATTGAAGAGAGAAAAGCACTCCATAGAACTGGAGGACATTGGGAGCTAGAGGTCACCTCTGAGCCCCTGGACTGAAAATACAGCTTGAGGGGAGCAGAAAATTGGGGGTGGAGAGATAGATGGAAGTCAGGTGACAACACTGTTGGGTCCAGCAGGAAGTATTTCAGGGCAGAAAGGAGAAGAATGGGGAGACCGGATGCCTGGCCTTTAGGCACCTCTTTCCTAAGCCTAAAGTCTCCACAGACTGAAGAAGACCCAGTGGGGCAGCTCTGGGACTGCATCTGAGCCCCTGGTGCTTGACAGTGATGGCTGTGGATTCCCTGGCACTACCAAGCACCCTGACCTGGAAGAGGAGAGGGCATCCTATCCCCGGGAAGAGGACCACTTCCTCACTACTGGCAGGGCCCGGGTATGTCTGGTGAGGAACTCGGTCGGGTGGTGGAGGGTGATGTGGGTGCCTGGTCTTGCATGGAGAGACAGCGGAAGCCAAGAGCCACTCTGGATGGCTGGGTTTGAGAAGAGCAAAAATAAAGTAGGCGGGAGCCAGGAACTTGGAAGTACATGGGCTTGTGGACTAGGAAATGTGGAGAGAGATCTGTTTTTCAGTTTTTCTCATTCTTACAGCTGCTTTGGTCTCCTTGGAGTCCCCTGGGCCAGGAGGGGTCTTGCCTCTCCAGGCAGCTGGGCTCTCTGGCCTCCTTCAGCACTGTCACAGCCAGTAGGAACCCCCTTTACAATCCCTGGGGGATGGAGTTGCAGTCTGAGGATAAGGAGAAACCTCCATGCCCAAGATGCTAGCGTGCCTCAGCGGCCAGGGACTAGTTCTCTGCGCTGGAATCTCCTAACATTAAGGCATTTCCCTTGGTCCCTCCCAACTTCCTCTCCCATCGTCTGAATGAGGCAAGAACTCTCGGCCTCCCACCTCGACCCACCCCTCTCACGGGAGCTCCCCCAGGCCGGTTGTCCCCCAGGGCCGCTCCCTGGCACGTGTTCTCTGTTCTGTTATTAAAAAGCAAGTAAGTGGAGCCCAGAGTTGTCTTTCTCTGCGAGAAGCAGTGGGGAGGGAGGGTTTCTTTTTCCTTCGAGAGGACCCAGCTAAAATGAAGTCGAGCTGGGTCCCCCAGATTCAAGGGGTCGTGCCCAAGAAAAGTCCTGCCGGGTCCAGCGTTCCCCGCCCCGCGCCGAAGGCCGCCCGCGCCCCTACTCTCCCGCCCGGGGTCATGTCAGCCGGCCGCGCTTCCGCCTCCGGGACCCCGGCATCCTGCCTCTCGGCACTGCTGCCCTTTCTGGGACTTCCCGGCAGTCCGTCCTTCAGGGCCCAGAGAGCCGAGTCCCTCCGGCCGGCGCCCCACCCAGAGCCCCACGTGGTGACCCCAGGTTCCCTTCCCGACCCTCGTCCCCTTAATTGGGAGGCCCCGCCCCGTGCGCAGTGACGTCGGACGCTGCTGTCACCGGCGCTGGGGGGGGTCGGTGTGGGGTAGAATGGCCGCTGCCGCCGTCACCC